AAAGGAAAGGAGTTGAGGCATGTTCTCACATCTCTTCATTGGTGTCATGCATTGCTCTTTTAAATTTTGCAACATTTATTTTCAGTTGTTTTCTGCTAACTTCTTCATTTTATAACCCTTATTAGCTGTGTGACTATGGAAAAGTCACTTAACCTTTAAGTGCCTTGATTTCCTTATCTGTATAATAGGATAATATTACTTGTATTATTTGTCCCACATGTACTTTGTAAACTTCAAAGTGTTATATAAATATGAGAGGCAGTGCATAGTGCAAAGTGCACTAGATTTGAGGTTAGAGGTCCTGGATTCTAATTTCACATCTTTCCAACTTGCCAGTATGTGACTTTGGGAAATTTACAAAATCTTTCTGGGCCTAAGGTTCCTCATGTATAAAAATGGGAATCATTATACTACTTACCTTATAGGTTTGTCATAAGAAAAGTGAGTAGTAAACCCTAATGGACATTATAAATGGGTACTATAATTATTCTTCCTTCCCTTGGTTCCAGTCCTCAAAAGATGGGATAGGGATGTCACTGTGATTTTCTTGGTATACAGAACCTCCAGGGAGGAAACTACCAATGGCAATTATTACCTTTTTTTTTTTTTCAACTTAGAGAATTAGAGAGTTACCTGGGGCACTGATAGGTTAAATGATTCTACCTTCCCCCAGGATTACATAGGCATTATGTGTCAGAGGTGGACCCTAAACCCAAGTCTTCCTGATATTAAGGATGAATCCCTAGTCACTATGCCATATTGGTTTTTAATCTTCAGACATTTAATAATAAATAAGGATACTCTAACCCCATGTCTAGTGCCTAGTACATAGTAGGCACTTAATAAATGCTTGCTCATTGAGTCCTACATTGGTATTAAATGTCCTTGTACCAGCATGAAGAGAGTCATTATGGTGTGTGGAAAGAACATTGGCTCAGGTCCCATCTTAATTCCTGCCTCAGACACTATGCGCATGTCATTTAATTGACTGAATCTCAGTTTTACCATGTGTAAAAAAGGGATCCTTGCATTATCTACTTCTCTCATTTGCTTCAAAGAAAAGAGCTGTATAAATGGGATTTGCTATTTTTATGGATGAGTTGTACATAAGAAAGTTACAACACGGGGGGCAGAGCCAAAATGATGGAGTAAAAGCAGTGACTTGCTTGAGCTGTCCTCCAAAACCTTCCAAATAGCTGTAAAAATGGCTCTAAACAAATTCTAGAGCACCAGAACCCACAAAAAGACAGAGTGAAACATATTTTTAGCTCAAGACAACCTGGATAGTTGATTAGAAAGGTCTATTGCATCAGGCTGGGAGAGGAGCACAGCTCAGCATTAGCCACACAGGCAAAGACCAGGTCTCAGGAAACTGAATCACAGGCAGCTGTGGTGGTTTCCAGACTTCTCAACCCACAAACACCAAAGACAACTTAGAAGGTCAGTAGGAAAGGTCTGTGACCATGGTGAGAGAGAAGCTCAGTCCCAGCCCCAGCCCCAGCCCCAGCATAGCCCCAGGGCGGTAGCTGCTTCTGGAGCTCTCAACCACAGACTGAAGGGGAATCAAGTGGCTGATCAGAGGGGGATTGCAGGGATCTCTTTGCTGGTGCTGAGGCATGATTCTCTTGCTTTGCAGTGATTGGATCTGGGTCATAGTTCTGGGTGGTGGTCCTGGGGTGAGGAGGAGAGCTGGTGTAGTGGAGCTCATGGTGGTGGTGGAGGGGGAATCCTCCTCACAGTTCCAAGGCAGAAAAGAGTGCTTGTGATCACTGAAAGACCAGAGCATAGGCCAGGAAAGGAGTAAACACCTCACCCCTTATCATACCACCTTGGATGAACTGAAAATTTATAGGTCCCTAGAAGTATCTCTGAAAACAACTGCACAAAACCCCCAAAACTTGAGACAGTACATTCTCCACACTGGAAGCAGACCCCTAGCTTAACAAAGAGTTTAAAACTAAAGTAATTGGGTGGGAACATGAGCAAACTGCACAAAAAAAGTCAGACCATAGAATCTTTCTTTTGTGACAAAGAAGATCAAAACATACAACCAGAAGAAGACAACAAAATCAAAGCTCCTACATCCAAAGCCTCCAAGAAAAATATGAATCAGTCCTAGGCCATGGAAGAGCTCAAAGAGGATTTTGAGAAGCAAGTAAGAGAAGGAGAGGAAAAACTGGGAAGAGAAATGAGAGTGATGCAAGAAAATCATGAAAAACAAGTCAACAGCTTGCTAAAGGAGACCCAAAAAATACTGAAGAAAATAACACCTTAAAAAATAGCCTAACCCAAATGGCAAAAGAGGTCCAAAAAGCCAATGAGGAGAAGAATGCCTTAAAAAGCAGAATTGGCCAAATGGAAAAGGAAGTCCAAAAGCTCACTGAAGAAAATACTTCCTTAAAAATTATAATGAAGCAAATGGAAACTAGTGACTTTATGAGAAATCAAGACATTGTATAACAAAATCAAAATAATGAAAAAATAGAAAACAATGTGAAATATCTCATTGGAAAAATAACTGACCTGGAAAATAGATCCAGGAGAGATAATTTAAAAATTATTGAACTACCTGAAAGTCATGATCAAAAAAAGAGCCTAGACATCATCTCTAAAGAAATTATCAAGGAAAACTGCCCTGACATTCTAGAACCAGAGGGTAAATTAGAAATTGAAAGAATCTACCAATCACTTCCTGAAAGAGATCCCCAAAGGAAAACTTCTAGGAATATTGTAACCAAATTCCAGAGTTCCCAGGTCAAGGAGAAAATATTGCAAGCAGCCAGAAAGAAACAATTCAAGTATTGTGGAAACACAATCAGAATAACACAAGATTTAGCAACTTCTACATTAAGGGACCAGAGGTCAAAGGAGATAGGATTACAACCAAGAATCACCTACCCAGAAAAACTGAGTATAATCCTTCAGGGGGAAAAATGGATATTCAGTGAAATAGAGGACTTTCAAGCATTTTTTTTTTGACAATTGGGGTGAAGTGACTTGCCTAGGGTCACACAGCTACTAAGTGTCAAGTGTTTGGTCTGAGACTGGATTTGAATTCAGGTCTTCCTGTCTTCAGGGCCGGTGCTCTATCCACTGTACCACCTAGCCTCCCCTCAAGTATTCTTGATGAAAAGACCAGAGCTGAATAGAAAATTTGACTTTCAAATACGAGACTCAAGAAAAGCATGAAGAGGTAAACAGGAAAGAGAAATCATAAGGGACTTATTAAGGTTGAACTGTTTACATTCCTACATGGAAAGATGATATTTGTAACTTGTGAGACCTTTGTCAATATTAGGGTGGTTGGAGAGAAAAAAATTTATGTATGTATATATATAGATAGATAGATAGATAGATAGATAGATAGATAGATAGATAGAAGGCACAGGGTGAGTTGAAGATGTAGGTTGATATCTAGAGAATAAAATTAAAGGATGAGAGAGGATTATACTGGGAGAAGGAGAAATTGAGAGGTAGAATGGAGTAAATTATCTCACATAAAACAGACAAGAAAAGGCTTTTACAATGGAGGGGTAATGGAGGAAGGGGAGACAGAATGAGTGAATCTTATTCTCATTGGATTTGGCTTAAGGAGGGAATAACATACACTCTCAGTTGGGTCTGGAAATCTATATTACCCTACAGGAAAATAGGGGGGAAGGAGATAAGAGAGTGGGGGATGATAGAGGGGAGGACAGATTGGGGGAGGGGGTAATCAGAAGCAAACACTTCTGAGGAGGGACAGGGTCAAAAGAGAGAATAGAATAAATGGGGGGGATAGGATGAAGGGAAATAGTTAGTTTTGCACAACATGACTACTGTGGAAGTGTTTTGCATGACTACCCATGTATAACCTTTATTGAATTGTTTGCCTTTTCAATGAGGGTGGGTAGGGATGGAGGAAGGGAGAAAACTTGGAACCCAAAGTTTTAAAAACAAATGTTAAAAAATTGTTTTCACATGCAACTGGGAAATAAGATATACAGGAAATGGGGTATAGAAATCTATCCTGCCCTACAGGAAAATAGAAAGTGAAGGGAATAAAGAAAAGGGGGAGGAGATAGAAGGGAAGGCAGATTAGGGGAAGGGGTATTCAGAATACATGCCATCTTGGGGATAGGGGAGGGACAAGATGGGGAGAAAATTTGGAATTCAACATCTTGAGGAAGTGAATGTTGAAAACTAAAAATAAATAAATTAATAAAAAATTTAAAAAAAAGAAAAAAACATACTAAATGGCAGCACTGAGACACAAATTCAGGTCTTCTGCTTATAGTTCATTGAAACAGACGTTTGTTGAGTCTGTCCAAGATGTTTGATGTCTGCCATTTATCCATGATTAATTTACCTTAAAAGTCAGAGCACAAAGATAATATTGTAGTTGGGTTGACATCATCTATATCTTTGGTTGCTAGGAAAACTAATGTTTTTCTTCATCATGGCAGAGGTGGGGTACAAAGCTGAGGGGCTATGAGGCTGTATAACTCTTGAATGGTTCTATTACCATTTCAATTTCTGCTCTCATACTCAGTGGAAAACTTCTTTTTTCTAGACAAATGAACTGCTATATATTGTACTGAGGATGGGGTGGAGGGTAATGATATAGATGGAAGGAAAAGACAAAAGATTCAAAATCTTTAAAAAGAACATCCCCAAAATGTTGGAAGATGAACTGAACATGAGCAGCAATTACCCTTTTCTGCCTTTGTCATGGGATTGTTGTATTTCCCTACAATAACTTTAAAGTATTATGCAAATGTAAGTTATTATTGTTATCATCATTATTGTATTGACTATGATTTGATAACACCTTATGGTACTTTGTTTCATGATTTTATTGTTTTATATGTTTTCTAATTGGTTCCAATAAATAATTGCTATGAAAAAAAGAAGAAAGTTACAACACAAAAGGGAGGCCAGTTTCTTGCTTGCACAAACAAACAAGCCCACACGGACCTGTTTTGAGAAATGATAAAATAAACAGATATTATTTTTCTTACTTTTCATATATTTGAATGCTGGAGGAGTTGATCTCTTGGTCAAATCGATATTTCTCGTAGTCTTCCACGCCGTCTTTCACCATGATAATCAGCAGCACAATAGCCAAAGGTAGCATGGTGATTTCTCTGTGGAAGACCTCTATAGGTGGCATCCAGTTCAGAATCACCAGGAAGAGGAAGTAGAGATTAGCCCATCTGCAAGAGGCAAAGAGGTACTAGAAACCAAATCAGGGTTGGAAGACAAAACAGAACAAAACAAAACAAAACCCAATCAAACAGAAAGTACCTGGTGAACAAATTCCATTTTCTGGTTTTCTTTCATATTCTTGACTTTATACAAGCAAATGTGATATTCTCATAATAATAATTTTAATAAATCATTTACAAAGTGCTTGAATGTCTTCAAAGTCTTTTCCTTAGAACCCTGTGGGGGTGGTTGTGAAAGAATTATTCTATAGAGGCAGCAAGGTGGCACAGTGCCACTAGAGTTTTCAGGAAGATCTAAGTTCAAATCCAGCCAATTCAAATCAGATGCTAGCTGTGTGACCTTCTCTCTGCCTCAGTTTTCTCATCAGTAAAAAGGAGATAATAATAATAATGATACATACCTCCCAGGGTTGTTATGAGGGTAAAGTGAGATAATATTTGTAAAGCTCTCAGCAAACCATAACATACTATCTAAACATTAGCTAATATTATATGCGTTTTACAGATGAGGAAATGGAATCTTTGAGATTAAGTAGCTTTCCCATGAGCATTTAGCTGGTAAGGTTGGTGCGCAGGATTCAAACTCAGATCTTCTAGTTCTAAATCCTGTGCTCTATCCACTAATACAGTTAGAACTGGAGAATTTTAGGGATAAAGGGGAACTTTAGAGCAGATGTTGTTAACTATTTTTGTGTCATGGTTTTGACAGTTTGGTAAAGCCTACAAATATCTTCTTGGATTAATACTCTTAAATGCTTAAAATAAAATATGTACCACTACAGAGGAAACCAATTATATTGAAATAGTTGAGTCATCAAAATATTTTTAAAAAACCAAGTTCATGGGCTCCTGGTTATTTCTGGTTTAGAATAGTACTTGGCATTTGCAAATTGCATTATATTTTTCAGAAGGCTTTCACATGTTATTTAAGTTAAAAAAATCTTGTCGGGTAGACGTGACTGGCATTTTATTTCTCAAATAAGAAAATGGAAGCTTAAAGGGGTTAAATACAGACTGGGTGAAATATGTCTTAACAGCTGTTCATGTTAAAGAGACTGTGGGTTTTGGCTGACCAAAAATGTTTAGTTGACCGCAACATCAGCAGGAGCCAAAAACGTAATGTGGTTGCTCAAAAAGCTAAGGCATTGGCAGAATTTACAATATTTAATTGAAGAGATCTAATAGTCCCTATCACATTTTATATTGGTCACATCATGTCTGGAATGTTATGTCTTCTTTGGGGCATCACTGAAAGAGTGACATGAGTAAGCTAGAATGGGCTGACAGGAAAAAGAATGATATCCAGAGGTATCTGGAAAATCTTGCCATTAAAGGTTGAAGTTTCCTGGGACACTTAGCCAGGAGAAGATTTGATAACTATTTTCTAATACCTGAAGGATTGGTCAGTGGAAGAGGAATCAGAATCATTCTGTGATCCTCTGGAAGGCAGAACTATGAAAGGGAGTTACAGAGAAGTAGATCTCAGTGTAACATACGCAAGACTTTGCCAGTATATCGATACCCAATAATTGAATGGGCTAGCTTGTAAAATAATGACTTCCTATCACTGCAGGCACTCAAGATGATGACAGAAACATTCCCAATTGATGAATGGTCAAAGGATATGAACAGGCAGTTTTTGAATGAAGAAATTAAAGCTATCTATAGTCATTTGAAAAAATGCTATAAATCACTATTGATTAGAGAAATGCAAATCAAAATGACTCTGAGGTACTACATCACACCTACAGATTGGCTAACATGACAAAACAGGAAAACAATAAATGTTGGAGAAGATATGGGAAAATTGGAACACTAAGGCATTGTTAGTGGAGTTGTGAACTGATCCAACCATTCTGGAGAACAATTTGGAGCTCTGCCCGAAGGGATATAAAACCGTGCATACCCTTTGATCTGTCAATAGCACTACTAGGTCTGTATCCCAAAGAGATCATAAAAAAGGGGAAAGGACCCACATGCACAAAAATATTTATAGCAGCTCTTTTTGTGGTGGCAAAGAATAGGAAATTGAGGGGATCCCATCAATTGGGGAATGGCTAAACAAGTTGTAGTATATGAATGTAATGGAATAATATTGTTCCATAAGAAATGGTGAACAGGCGGACTTCAGAAATACCTGTAACGACCTGCATGAACTGATACTGAGTGAAGTGAGCAGAACCAGGAGAACACTGTATACAGTAATAGCAACATTATAAGATGACTGACTTTGTTAGACTTAGTTCTTCTGAGCAATACAATGATCTAAGACAATTCCAAAAGACTCATGATGGAAAATATCCACATCCAGAGGAAGAACTATGGAGTCTGAATGCAGATCAAAGCATGCTACTTTCACTTTTGTTGTTGTTTTTTTTTTCTCATGGTTTCCCCCTTCTGTTCTGATTCTTCTTTCACAACATGACTAATGTGAAAATATATTTAATAGGAATGTATATATACATATAGCCTATATCAGATTACATGCTGTCTTGGGGAGGGGGGAGGGGAAAGAAGGGGAAAATTTAGAACTCAAAATCTTATAAAAGAGAATTTCAAAAGCTAAAATTAAATAAATAAAACACTAATGAACAATGCATAATAAACCTGTAAAACATCTATCAAGAAAAAAAGATGATGACAGAAGAGCACTTGTTGGGGATGTTGTATAAGGGGCTTCGGTATCAGATTGCAAAATAGCAGATTGGTCTTGATAATGATTTAGGATCTCTTTCAATTCTAGGATTCTATAATTCTATGACCTATAATTCTATGGCCTGAAGTTACATAGTCGATTAGTAGCAGAAATGAAATTAATACTCATGACCCCTGATTCCTAATCTCATCAAGTCTGTCCTTTAAACTCTTCTAAAACTGAGCAGAATTTGTTAAACTTTAAGGACACATAAAAGAAATTCTATCTGTCCCAGTGTTATATTGCCTCTTATTGTCACAGAATTCCTTCTTGTGTCTAACTAAAGTCCCCCTTAATTCAGCTTTGTCATAAACTGTCTCTCTGTCAACTGTGATTCTTAAAAAAATAAAGGCCAACCTCCTAGGTTGTTCCTGCCCTAACTTTGAGATCTAACCATGTTTGTAAAATTCTTCACACTAGTAAACCTTCCAAATATCAGTTAATCTCTATTTGAAATAGATTGCCATTTTTTTTTGACTAATGAGAGACACCTGTATGACCTTGAGCAAATCATATCTCTGGATCTCAGTTCTGTCATCTGTAAAATGAGGGTGCTAGACCAGATGACCTTTGAAGTTCCTTCCATTTCTAGGTCTCTCTTCCCCGGATCTAATGCTAATTACTACCAGCATCTATGTACCTGTGAAACTGCTCGAAGAGGTTTCTGGGTAGGAAGCTGAACAGGGTGTATTTGGTGGTATGAATCCTGTTGCCAGAGTAAAACTTGGAAACTTTTGCCCAGTCTTGGTGAAATATCTTGTTGTTAGGAAAAACGATCCGTTGTTGATTCAGATTGTAGCTCTGTCTTTCCTTAGTCACGGACAGCAGTGGGGTGGATTCTGAAGGAGGCTGGGAGAAGCGATCCTTAACTTGCCCTTGCCAGCGATACCAAGAGGAATCCACTGACAGCGCCATCTTGACTGGTAGGTTAAGGCTGAAAGATGAATACACCGCAGGGGTTAAATCAGAGGGCCCCTAAGAGATTCAGATATTGTCTTGATCTTTAACAAGGCAAAAGCAACAGTTTGGCCCCATGGAAAGACAAATGGATCATGAATTAGGAGGCCTGGCTTTTAGTCCTTGTTCTGAGATTAATGGATGCATTGCGTGATGGCTGTATAGTGAATGACTTCACCTCTCAGTGTCTGTTTCCTTTCTGCAAAATGAGGATAATATCCTCCCTCAAACCATTCAAGTCAGTGATTTGGTCAAGGCTGTGTGTTTTTATAGGGCCCCTGTTAAAATGAAGTACTATTTGTGAAGGGTAGACTAGTACAAGCTGCTGTCACCAATTAACAATTCTGCATGGAGCAGTGTGTCAGATACAAATAAAGGGAAATTTTGATGGGATCTTGGAGTTAAGGATGTGTGCAGAGCTGACCCAAATGGGTCTATCAGTGGGAGGTCCTGGGATGTCATAATGGGGAGAGGAGGAAGAGAAGGACAAGGTATGTAGGAGGAGGTTTCTGAAGGCAAACCCTGACTGCTTTACAATTTTGCCCAGGGCTGGTCCTGCCTGTAAACTAAGGAGAAGACAGGTTCAAAATGTCAGTGGGGTTATTCTTCATGGGCAAGAATCCCATGTTCCCAAGTTCCATTTATCTTCATTGTATTTGAACTTCCCAAAAATCAGATGTGGGGGATTTCTAAGAAATGAAATAAAATAGTTTTCCACTAAGAATGTGTAGAAAATAAAAACCAAATGAAGGCAGTGCCTTTGTGTCAAAAAGATAATTTCCTGACTCAGGCAGAAAGACCTATAGGTAGCCACAGGGGAGAGGGCACAGAGCAGATGAGTCTAGGCTGTAGTTATTGTTTAATTTTAACTATAGGCTCACAGCATGGTAGGGCCTACATGAACCAGCCAAGGGACATAGCTCCTGCCCTCTAGGGATTGATGTTGTAGAAAGCTGACTTTTCTACAGTCAGACTTCACATGTGACTCCCATATTGCCTGAGGTGCTTCCCTCTAGGTATTCCCAATCTATTTTATGTGATGCGGTCTGCCTCTCCTCCTCCTTCTTCCTCTCTGTCTCTGTCTCTGTCTCTTTCATTCTTACCCTAGCTTTGAGATCTAACCCTATTTGCAAAATTCTTCACACTGGTAAACCTTCACTTTTCCCTGTATTTTTTAAAATAGAATGATATGGTATCTTGATTTCAAGGTTATTTTGAACTTGTCAATACTGTGAATGCAATAAAAATAAAATCTCAAGACAAAAAAAAAAGGCTTAGTGAAGCCTCTAATACTTAGAATATGGCATACCATAATAGCCATTTATAGGGTATCTAGTACTCATGTGGATCACTTGAGGCATACCCAGTTCCAGGCCCAGAACGCATACAGCAGATGCCATTCTATCACATAGAGAAAAGAATGACATCTTTTATAGTGACCTGGACGGTACCTGTTTTACACACATACACAAAAGTGATAACTCAGCATGTTTGTGCTCAGTTTTACCAGGTTCTTCAATATTTTTTCCTATGTGGCTTTGTTCTTAGGGTCACCATGCTGCTAACTCAAGCCTTGACTGACAACACCTCCCTCAGCCTTCTCTCCTTCTGATTGGAGGCCTGGAGGGCGGGGTCTCAAACTCCTCCCAATGCCTTCCTTTAAAGAGGTGCAGAAACTGGGTTTTTCTGTCTCGCCTCACTCTGCATCGGTTGCTCTACTTGGTTTCAACTCCACTGAACAAGATGCCCCTGAACTGGGTATCTCCTGGTTTCCCACCACCTTTCTTGTCTCCTTTTGTGTGTTGTCTAACTCCATTAGATTTGTAACAGGGACTGTCTTTCTTTTTATTGATTGTACCCACAGCACTTAGCACAGTGCCTGGAACACAGTGGGTGCTTAATAAACGTTTATTGGATTATTGGATTGTCCAAGGTCACACAGGTAGTTAGCATCAGAGGTAGGATTTGAATTCAGGGCCTCTGACCCCAGAGCCAGCGCTAGTTACACCTGGTTGTCCCTTCTGTGTAATCTGTCTCCTTAACTACAGAGTAAGTGCTCTGATAGCAAGTATCAGGCAGACCTTATTTTTCTCATGCCTGTCTCTGCAGAGAGATTGAGGCAGAGATCTGCTCATGGTAGGAGCTTGGAGAATGTCACTGATCACATGCAAGCCTGTAGCTCACCCAGAAACCGAAGCCCAGCTTCATAAATGTAATCCTATGACCTGTGCTTCCAAGACAGGAAGGCTCTTCCTGAAAGAAGGGGCTCATTTAGTTGTAAAGAAAAATGTCTTGTCAGGCAAACTAAGCAGTAAAAGAGGGAGCCTGGAATTTGTGGAATGGGGATTATCATTGATTTGGGTTTTTGGGGTTGGGGTTAGGGAGTGTTTTGTCTAAAGCAGGGTACTGTACTATATGACCCCTTGAGGTGCCTCCAAGCTTCATGTTACTCTGATTTTATTCTTTGATGTGACATCAAACATTAACAGTGAACTTATCCATTCACCTACCTATCATCACTAATTAAATTTCAGATTGCCTTGGGCTTGAAGTTGCAGTAATTGGGCACCAATTATTTTCACAGGCATCATCTCTCATTTTATTTTATTTTTTTCCCTGAGACATTGACACATCTAGGCTAACTTGCTGGGTTAATTACGGTTCTTCTTTTTTGACTTGTAATTCTGAATTTCAGGCATTTTCTTTCTTGTCCTGAACATATCTTAGAATGGATGTTTATTTCATCCTTTTCCTTCTACAACTATTTCTCACCAAACAGAAATTTGCAAACCCCATCTGCCCCGGCAACCTTGTTTATGCTCTACAGGGTCAGAGGAATCCTGAACTTGTATTCTTAAGGAGACCGTAAGGAGTAGCCTATCATCTACTAGCCTTTAAATAGAATTTTAGGCTGGGGATGAGGGAGGGCTGTGTTGGGGAAAGATAGAGGACTGACTTTAGGAGTACCAGCTAATGGCTAGCATGTATATGGAGCTTTAAGATTTGGAAAGTACTTTACATGTATTATATCACTTGATCTTCAAACAACCCTGTGAGATACATATTACTGTCATGTTATAGATATGAAAGCTGAGTCTGGGAGAGGTTAAGTAACTTGTTCAGGATCGCACAGTTAGTAAGTAGGTGAGACAGGATTTGAACTCACATCCTTCTGATTTTAAGGCCAGTGCTCTAGCCATCCCTATTTTTACAGAAATCACAAATTGAGGTAGGGGGGATTTCAATAATTTCTCCTTCTCCTAGTCCTATGGCTCCTCTCTGCCCTTTTCTCCCTCCCCACTCCCATTTAGAAACAGAAGTCTCTTCTGGGGATTTCTCAGCCTTCACTGAGTTACTGTGTTATTATTTATTGTAGTTTCTGGAACTTCTTTTTCCCTTTCTCTCTCCCTCCCCTACCCCCAATGGAAAAGTCGCAGCCCAGGAATGAGGTCCCTGGCAGTTCCTGGATCTGTGTGTTCCACAGCTGTCCATGTTGGTATAAGACTCTTCCACCTGGGACCACACACAGATGCCCTGAGGAACAAATAAAGAGCAGGTGGAATTTTCAACTTTGAACACCAGTCTGTGAGTGGAAAATCTCCAAATTTGGCTGGTTCACAAACTAGCCTGATGGAGATTAAGGAAAAGCATATGTGTACATATATACATACTCTCTCTGTTTTTATCTCTTCTTGTCTCTCTATTTGTCTCTTCTTTCCCTCTCTCTCCAAGTGTGTGTGTGTGCTTGTTTATTTGTTCACTTTGAAAGAGCTGATAATCTCAAGTATGAAAAAGGTTTGGTGAGGGGAGGAAAAAAAACAAAGACAGGCAATTTAAAAACAGAATATTACATATTCTCTTTTCAACAAGATTCAGTGTCTGTGAGTCTTGCAAGTCATTATAAATCCTCATTGTTGCAAAACAATTGTTGAATTTATCTCTTAATCACTCCCTAATGTATTTCTCATAGGGGGTGTTTCAGATCTCTTCCACTTTCCTGAAGCCCCCTCCATCCTCCCCTGACCAACTCTCTTCCTTGCCTCTTTTTTTTACCTCACTTTCTATTTTATTAAGGAAAATGAAGCCACCTGCAAGAATTCCAGCAAATGCTAAATCCTTGTTATATCGCCACCCACCCACTCTTCCTTTCTTTTACTCTCTGGGGATGAGGTAGCCCATTCCCTGCCAATGCTATCCCCTTCATCTCCGACCTTGATTGACCTCAATCTCTCACCTGTCCTCTAGGATCTAGATCCATGGATTATTTATTCTCTCTCTTGCATCTTTAGTCTTTCTTCTTCTGCTGGTTTCTCCCACCTTTGCCTACAAACTCTCAGCTCAGTGTTCTTTTCACTGTACCAAGGTTTCTTAACTCAAGGCTCATGGTATATTTTAGGGGTTCTAATAACTTGGATGGGGAAATGTTATATGTTTCAATTTAATTGGTTTCCTTTGCAATCCTATTTTATGCATTTAAAAACATTATTTTGAGAAGTGTGAAATCTTCACCAGACTGACAGAGGGGTCCATGACACAGAAAGGTTAAGAGCTCCTTCTCTGTGCTATGTTGCCTTTATCCTCAGAATCCTAAGTGATTCTTAACTGCAGAATACCTGGCTTCACCAGCTCTCCTGAGAAAGGCCTGTAAGTGTTGAGGTTGACTTCAAGCTGCTTCTACTGCAGCTATATTTGTGTAGAAGCACTCACCTGATGGTCTCCCCCATGTCCCAGGTCATGGATAGAACATTTACAGCTACTTCAAAAACCAGTGTGTAAACCACCCAAACAATGAAATAATCACACCATTCCTATGTGAAAAACAAATCTAAAAACCTGTTCCCCAAACTTCTATCCCCTCTAGGTCCTACCCTCATTTCACCCCTTCCTTTTTGCTGCCAAACTTCTTAAAAAAACAGACAACAACGTTTGTTTCTATTTCCTTCCTACTCTTACTGTGCCCTCTGTCTTCTGTAATCT